GTTTGGATTGCCAAAGAATTATGTACCCCACATGTGGTTTTCAGGGTTCCCCATCCCATGTTTAGGGTTTGGCCCAAGGCCTAGCCAAGAGGAAGAGCAAATGGTCGTAGAGGCTCTGCCGCTTCCCAAGGTCCTAGTTGAAGAGGTCATAGATTTTTGAAGATTCCACTGGTTGGTTGATTTTTTTGGGGTAACCACCATTGAACAAGCAATCGGTTAATAATGGTACCTTCATGTAACTAGTAATACCAAACCGGCCCCTCTTCTTTTGCCAAAAGGCCAAAAGGACATCAATAGAAGAGTTTGGATGATGCAGGGAAGACAAAGCTATTCAATTTCCTGGGTGTAGGTGAAAGTGGAGATCTGAGTGAATTCAGAAGGATGGTGGATTCTGGATTCCGTCTTGTGATTTTTGTGACAAAATTGGGAGAGTTTATTGGCAGTCGATAAAGACCCTCAAAGCACCCAAAGTTGTGGGTTTGACGGGGCAAACCATGCCCCTTTCAAGCCTTCGAACAGCTGTGTTCCGCGGCGATGTTTGGCTTCTAGAGCTCGTGGACAAGGTTAGGGAAGCCATCCCGCCGCGTCTGCCTAAAAATCGCATCCTGGTGGCAGTTTCCCCATCGGGGAAGTGTCCTTGCGAAGTCTGTTACTGTTTAGGCATGTTTAGGCCACAATTGCAGGTTTTGCGATCTTTCAAGGCCTCTCAAGCGCAAGGCTTTTGCACTCCCCTGCTGCATAGCTTCTTTTTAGCTTATATAATATATTATAGAAATACATACAAATATACTATACATAGATGAATTTCAAAGGCGTTAAAGCAAGCTCAATCCTCTTCCTCTCAAGGATAAAACGACTCATTCACTGCTGAAATGGATTCTGGGGCCACGATCCTAGGGATTTGGAAGCTCTCAGGCTCTTGCAGAGTGACTCACTGCTGATCGCAAAGCCAAGGCATAACCCTATAAACAAACAAAAAGAATCCGCGTGGAGCTCAACTCTTCCACTGACATCAAGGATAACTTCAGTCAATCTTCTTGGGCGATTTGCGTGTTGAATTGGGGCGCTAGCAAGAGACTGGCAAACACGCAGATCATTCAGATTTTCAATCACAGTCCAAGCCTCGACCGTTCCCACGTTCCCTTCAGATCAAACCGCTCCGGTGACGGCTCGGGAGCCGTGTGTCCGAGGTTTCTACCAGTCTCTTTTTCGTTGCTGCATCCGAGGCAGCACTGTACACTGAGGCTGGCAGTGATGTACACTGAGGCTGTGCAAAAAAGGAGAGGGACCCTGCTATGTCTTAGAATATCGAATATCGTTCATTGCAATATGATACCTGGGCCTTCCAACTCCTAAGAGATATCAGTCGTTTTGCACAATCAGGCGTTTCACCAAATTTATGGTCGTATCGAGCGTTTCCCCAAAAAGTTAGGCGTGGTATATCATGGCTGTGTTTCCCATCGGCATGGCCCTCGTGCAAGTCTTCTCACCAGTATTTTGCTTTAGTTAATTGCGCGCCCCCAAAATTATACAAATTTGCCAGATTCTTGGATTTGCAGGCGTTTGCCGGTTTTTGCAGGCGTTTTGCGGGTAATTTTGGGCGCAGTTCTGTGCATTTATAAATATGCGTTGGTGCTCGGGATATGAGAATGGCCGGGTATGTCCCTGGGACGCAGCCAGGATGCAAGCCATGTTCAGTCATATTCAAAATGTCAATTGTGGTGATAGTGTGGCCACTAGGAAGCAAAATCAGGCAAACTAGTAGAATTAGACGAGATTCTGAAAACTGGTTCATTTTAGGTCATACTCGAAAACGACCAAAAATAATTGATCGAAATTATATAATTATTGCAATATCTTATTTCAATATGCGTCGCATGATGTTCACATCCATTCTGTGCAAACATTTGTCCAAATTCCAGCAAGATATCGATGTCTATCGGAGTCTATCGTATCAGACAGGGGTTTTGAGAAGGACACTGGCCGGGCTCCCACTCGTTTCCGTGTAAGACATTATGACACTGAGTTTGTTCTGCAATCAAGTATTTCCCCCGGCAGGGAATCCTTTCACCACTAAGAAGCCTTTGGCAGCGGTTTCATTTGGTTTCATTTTCTCAAACAATCCAAACACACCAGATGTGATGATCCAAACTGCGTTGGTCAACCACCAGTGATTCTTGATTCTATCACCATTCTTGCTGGTTTTTGAGTTTCACTGATATCCTAAGTGTATATTAGCACCTAATAGACGATATTTGGAGGATATGACCACCAGTCAACCGGGAGTTTACACACAAAACATGGGGATAGATCCGGTGATGAGTTGGGGGCTCCAACCACCAAGCAGAGATGTATGGAATTTTACCAGAGTATTCCCCCGTATTTCCCCCCAACACCATTTTTGAAGAATGTATGAACATATTTGAACGAATGGAACATGTTATGTTACAGTAACCGGTAACCACATTTTTTGTGAAATATAGTTGGTTGATTAGTACATATTGAGGATTATCATCATCCATGACCTGGGATGGTGAAATCAAAAGTAGCTGTCCGTGTTCTGCGCCGGCTGCGATAGGCCGACTGTGCACCCGTTGCAGACTTTTCACTGAAGCCCGGAGCCACAATTCTGCCTATCCATGACGGCTTATCATTTCATGACACCGCTAGTTTTTTTTAATCAACATGTGCTACATCCCTTTGAAAAAAGGACGAATGACCGACCTGGGTCTGTCGTATCAGACCCACAATGCAACAACGCATTGTGTTCAATCCAATGAAAGCAAGGCATGATTACGCTGCAGTGTTGGCTTCAAATCACACTATGTCCTGATACGAAACCCACCTGATATTGGCTGAGGAGCAATGTCTGGAGGAGTGACCTGGCAGTGAAACACATCTTGCAGTGTCAAAGCATGGGCATACCCTGGTTGGGGGAAGTCATTTTGATGATGGTCACTTTTTGAAGGTCACTTCCCAATGAAAAAAACACAGTAACAAGGGCTTGTCAAATCAATGGTCTCTAAGCAGTTTTCCAGCTTCCATCGCCCTCTTGCCACAACTCGCACTGGGCAGCTGAGGTTCCTCAATTCGCGTCTTTGTGCCCTGGGTGCATGACACAATGGTTAGTTAACAATTTTCTTTGATCTAACTAGAATTTTATTGGCACTTAATTCAACTCTTCAATTTTGGCATCGGGCTTTTGACCCATAGCCGCGTCTTTAGACTTTCGCTTAAAATGATTGGCCGCAAAAAAACATGAAAAGGACCCCTTTGTTGTTTTTTGGTAGTACCTTATTTTCGAGCCATGGGTAAACCACCCACTTTTGCTGGTTGTCTTCTTCGTGCTTAAGCGGTCGTCAGCCCCGGATCTGATAGACTCCCCGCATGATTTTTGATAGTTAAAATCTCAGTTTTGGTTGTAACCAAGGCCCAGTTTTGACATCAAAGCCCCATAGTTTTATATGGAGGTGTCCGAAGTCATGGGGTACCCCCCAAATCATCCAAGTCATTAGACTATATAAGTATATAATAGTGTATATATACATATATATATATAGGTTAACCCATGGTGACGACTGGGGATCCCTGACTTAAGAACCATAAGGTTTTCGGTGGCCCGCCAGGTATGTGGGCGACCTTCATCCTGATGTCACCGAGGCCGGGCGCTGTCTCAGCATTGGAATAACATTGGCATATTATTTCGATGCTCGCTTTTTTTTTGGTTTCTATTTCTAGCCATGTAAACATGTCCTATACTATCCTCTGAGCCGATGCCTTTGCTGGTGATACGATATATCATCGAACTAAATGGGCCATGGCTTCCGGTTCGCAAACGGTTAGAAAAGCAAAGGGTAATAGCATCTCATTACTTCCAGTTACAATGAGTTATATGATTATCTCCATCTACATTCTCCATTTACGGTTAGTCATTTTTTTCCAAGGTTTTTTTTTCCATCTGGGTGGTTCTATCCCCATATCCCCATGATATCCCCATGATATCCCCATGATACGATGCTTCCAGGCCATGCTGTACGAAATCTTCAACTCGGTAGGACCCGTGGCATCCATCCGCGTCTGCCGTGACAGTGTCTCCCGAAAGCCCGGAACCCAGGGCCTGGGCACACGCGGATGGATGTGTTTATACACATACATCATATACAGTACACACACATATATATATAATGTGTATATATATATAACATGTATATATCTGGGTAAATTATAACGACCTCACTGCGACCTCACTGGAATCATGGTTAGTAAGGGCAATCATCTCCAAATGGCCTTAATTCAGGTTAGTGAAATATTATAATTTACCCATATATACATATATATATATATACATACATACATACATACATACATACATACATACATACATACATACATACATACATACATGTATACATACATGCATGCACGCATGCATGCATGCATACAGACACACATCCCATCCCATCCCATCACATCACATCACGTACAGTACATATTTTCCATTTGTTGCTGGGTACATCCCCATCCTTGGTAAATCCCAGCATATCGTGAGCCCGTTGGCTCAACTGAGCCTTGGTCGCAGGTCGCTTGGCTACGGTGCCTTGGTGGCACGGGGTCAAAATTGGATCCCCCTGAAACATGGTGCTTAATGGGGATATGAATGGGGAGATATATACATATATATATATAGTATATATATATATCTATATCTATATGTATATATACATGTATATAAATAGAGTGGTTTGTAATAGATAACCAACTATCATTAATCCCATCCCCATTTCATATTACATATATTAGGCGCAGCACAGAAACCGTGGTGGATGTAGGAGATGAAACCATATATTTGGGACCATTTGGGATGGGGATGTTTTGTTTTTGAATGGGGGATGGGATTGGTGAGTGAATACTAAAAGAGGAGGACCTTGTAGGCTTTGTTGCTGGACATGTCGAGCATCGGTTCCAGCTTCAACTGTTTTTGACCAGGCTATGTGAATTTCCACAGCGTCAGTGATGCTGAGCGCGCCCTGGACACCCTGAACTACTCGAGCATCAAGGCCTGCTCTCTACACTGCAATTGCTTCAATTTGACTCCGATTCAACATCCTCCTGCATACTTTCCACTGTCTTTCAACTGCCAGTTCTTGACCTTGCGTTTTCTGTCTCCTTTTGGATGCTGACATGGTGTTCTGATCATCTATCGGTTCGAGGGCCGTGCTTGCCGCATCATGTGGAGCCAGCGCGACCCAAGCCTTCGCAAGAGTTGCTCGGTGGCATTGACGTGGCGGGAAGACTAAAACGTCCGGACCGTTTGACTTGCCACAGCGACTTTCCCTTTTGCTTGGGGCTTTTGCCTACGCTATCTGTGAAATAAGTGCTTTGTTTCTCGCTGTTCAGGCGGCCTTGGCAACGTTTTTGTGCGGCCCCCAGTCAACCTCGAAGCTTCATCACGTGGAGCTGTGGCTGAACACCTCGGTTCCACTCCGCCAATTACCATGGGAAAGTCATGGCTTTTGACCATCCTCCCATCCTCATCTCCAGGTCCGAAATCTGGACCGTAACATTGACAACAAAGCGCTGTACGATACCTTCAGCCTCTTCGGGAACATCCTCTCTTGCAAGGTCAGGATTCCAGGATGGGACAGGCACTGTGGAGATATGGTGTAATTATGGATTTATGGACGGAATTACGGATCAAAAGGAAAGGTACCATTCTGGACCCAGACATGACTTGTCATTTCAGGGGGCTCGTTGAAGCTCGTTGACCCGCTTCGGAGGTGTCCACTTCGCCCGATGGAAAGTCTCGTGGCTACGGCTTTGTCACTTGGACTGGAGGATCATCCCATGTATAGTGAGGGTTTGTTTATGTTTGTTTATTGGCCAATAAGGTTGCTGGATAAGCGAACAAAAGTCCTCAGAGCATCGTGAGGGGTGAACTTATTGGTTTAAAAGCCCATGGAAAGCGGAAAAAAGGTCCTCGATTTGTGGGTTACCCATGGTTACCCCATTTATTTCACTCCTCACTTCCTAATCACTTGCTGAATGGAATTATCCTCCAAGTGAGATAATATGCGTCTGGAGGTCCACTATGAGACTGAGGAGGCAGCCAAGCAGGCCGATGGATCACGTCTCAATCCCTTGTCCAACATTCTGCGCTGATATCGGTTTGTCTCAAAATGGCGGGTACACCCTGCAAACTCTAATTTTTATAGGGAAAATATGGGAACATGATCATGAAACAGTGGATTTCTGGTTGGCCTTGATGCCAATCCGTGCCTACAGGCCATTGAAAAAGTCGACGGCATGCAAATTGGTGAGAAGACAGTGGGGGAGCCAACGGGGGTCCAACGATCTCCCGCTGATCTAGGGTGGCGCCGGAACATCACCAGGTGTCCAATGCCAGGTTTGAGCCAAGGATATTCGTAGCAGATTCTAGCAAGACTCCGGTGCACCCAAACATACCAGGGGCTGAGGTACTTTCTGAATATCACGAAGTGACAGAAAAACGATTTCTTCATGGCTAAGTAATACAAGGATTCACAAGGATTTTACAAGGATTTTACTGGGAAAGGCTAGGATTTTGCATGGATTTTACATGGATTTCATATGATTTTACATAGATTTTACTGGGATTTTGGCTGCACGAAACCAAGAGGGTCCCAGTGGCTGTCGCCGTTTTGGGGATCTCCCAGGTGGGCGTTGGTGGCTTCGTCAAGCGTTCAGATCGTGTGAACGCCCGGCTTTCCATCGCTGCGGAGGACTGGACTTTTTAGCTTGACATTGATGCAGGTTTTCAGTTTTCTAAGATGGGTCCAGTATATATGTATAATATAATATATATATATCCTACTTCACTGATACTAACAGTTAGACTCTAAGAGTCCGGGATCAGCGGTTCAACCAGTGGGTTCCCTTTTTGGATCGCCAAGGTGAGAAGCCTGCAATGAACACCTTCACCAATGCTGCTGGGACGTAAAGTGATGCGTTGGCGATGGTATTATCACCATTACAGAATAAATGGTAGTTGAAATAACTATAAAATAATGGTATTTGAAACCATGAAAAAAATAGAATTATAGAATAATGGTATTTACAATTATGATGATTGTGTACTATACTGCAATATTTCACATATTTATACACATTTACTGTAACTATTATCATTTTCCACCGTCCACCAGAGATAAAATTGAGATGATGATCGTTGGCGCCCCAAGGATTTTTTTGGTTTCTGGGAGGGGTTGAAACCACCAATCAACTCGCCTCCCCAAGGTGTACATCAAGAACTTCCCAGTTGAATGGGAGGAGGAAAAACACGACGGCGTCGACAGCGTGGCCAACATTCGGCCCCATTTGGGTTGAAGTATGTGGCGAAATACATCCAAATGGCCATTTCAACAGGGAAAATAAGTGTTTTTTTTTTAAATGAAAATGATGATTAACTGCTTAACCATCAAAATTTTGGGTAGCCTATTTTCAGCAACCCCCCTGGGAAAGATCCTGATGTGGGTCTTTCTACAGGACAAGATCAAGGAAGAGTTTGGCAAGAGTGGCAAGGTTCTGACCCCAGGGCCATCCTTTTCTGTGGTGAGGGTATTGCCTCTTGATACTATATATCTATATCTATCTATATCTATATATATGTATATATAAATACACATGTTCGTATAATCTAGATCTGATTTTTACATCTTCCTGGGGCATCTCAATTATATGTACATATATGGGCATGTCATTGGTATCAGATATCATTTTGTATTTTGTTAAGCTTCCCTCAGCAACTGAGATTACTTCCGCGCATCTGCAGACGGACAATAAGGCGAATCTGTGGCAGTGCCCTGGGGAAGTCAGCCATACGGGGGTTCTAAAGCCATGGATCCCCAGTCGTCACCGTGGCTTGACCTATACTAAAATGATCTAATGACTTGGATGATTTGGGGTACCTCCATTTTTTTTGAACCTTCGATATATTCAAAGGTTCTTTTTTTTCCCAGAAATTACGCCCCACAAAATTTTCATGGGAGCAAAACACACTGGGAGTGAAACAAAGCTGGTTGGTGGCTTCAAATCTTTTCATTTTCCATGGCTACCCCGAGAGAAGATGATGCCGAAAGACATGTCGATGGGAGCCACGACTCGACTAATCCTGGCGGCCAGGGCCGAAAATTTGCCTTCCTCAACTTTGAGACACACGCGGAGGCAGTGAAGGTGCGATATGGTGCGATGCTGCGGGTCATGGGAGGCCCCAAGTCCATTCCCATAGGATTCCCATAGGATGAGGAATTCTCAGCATTCTTCCAGGAGGATTTGCAACGTTTGGCAAGTGCCTCCTACATAAACATGAAGGTCTGTCAAGGGCAAGTTCAAGTCATGACTTCCGACGACTTCAGTGTATGATTTTATGATTACTTTGCAATACAGTGGTACACAGAGAATTTACAGATAGGAAGTTGGCCTGCACGTGTGAAGGCAATTGAGGATTTTCACCAGAAAGACTTCCGCACTGACGAGCAGAAAGAAGCTGACAAGGAGCTGGTTGCTGGGTATTAGCTCGAAGCTTTTCAAAGAGTGAAGTTGCTGATGGGGTGTTTGGTGCTTCTTGAGGCCTGCTTTTGGCATTTGGTCCATGGTCAGGAGAAAGAAGAAGAAGAGAAGGACCGTACAGAAAAGAGTGACTTAGAGATGAACCATTCCAACCTTGCTGCGTTTGAGTCTTGGGGCATATGCGGCATTCCTGAAACTGGATGACACTGGAAATGACCCCAAAACCTCATTCCCTGTTGGTGAATGGTTGCATAGGCGGACACTTGTTTCGCTTTTTCATGGGAATTATGGATGCAGGAACTGACACCGAGCAGTCGGTTTGGGATTGTAGTCGTGAGTCATTGATCTTTAGATATTAATGGATACTATGTTGTTGCGTTGGATAAAACACACACATATATATATTTATATACATACATATATAAACACATATATATATATGTAAATGTATACATAAACATATATATATACATAGACACACATATATATATATATATATATACACAAATGCATATATATATATATACACATGATCTATATTATTTGATTCTATGATGATGTCTATATATAATTGTATACTGATGACAATCATCCATCATTCAGGGGTTTCTAGGCTCCACCCCAGCCGTTGACCCAAGGCTACCTGCTCTACGTCACACGTGCCCAGTCCAAGTCCGAGCGTCAGTTGGAGCTTAAGGCAGAAGAGGGTGGACCATCAAAACTTGGGTGTGTACACATGGATTATACATATATATATACACCATATTTACGCATGTTTTGTTTTTCCTTTAGACATGTAATATATGTATATATATATACATATGTATTACACATACATTTGCAAATAGATATCTCAGTTTTGAGTCTGGTTCCAAACCTGGATCATCAATCCGATTGATTTTGGGGCTAAGGTAGGTGAATAAATTGCTAAACACATCAGCACTATTGATGATGGAACAATTATGGATCTAGTGATTCATCATCTCTGAATATCTCTGATGTCTTGTAAAATAATGATCTATCCACTCATGTCAAGTCTGGGTTAAAATAGAATCCGTCCACATTGAGTACCATAGATTTAAAGTCCCATCTGAAACTGTCTATACTGCTCAGTTTTCGGGACGTTCACAAAGGTTTGGGTCAAAGGTTACACCAGCTTTGCGCGAAACCACAGACATTCTCTGACGCAGCTAAACAACATGGCTTCACTCTTGGGTTCATGGTACCTTTTTCTTTTGCTAATGGGGTTTATCAACCAACCTATAAATGGCGGGCAAAGAATGAAGAATGCTTTGGAGTCTTGTTTAGGACTGTTTAGGATACGAACGCCAAACTGTTGAACTGTATCGTGTGGTGGAACTGACCCTTTCGTTGCGTCGTTGCCAAACAATTGCACGAAAAGAGCAGACCCCCTGCTCTGTCTGGGGCAAGAAGTCTGTTCTTTTCACAACTTCAAAATTATTTACCTCTGATGACCAGAAATGTCCAACTTGGAGGGTCAAGTAGTGCCACAGTTGTGACAAAACTCCTTTGGAAGTGAGATGACGCTGCACAGGTTCTTGAGAGCAGGGTGAATAGGATCGCATGAGCCAAGTATTTCTGCCGTCACGCCACTTCTATGTTGCTTTTAGTGATATGTATATAGTTTGTGCTGGTACGAAGAGAGTGGGGCAAACGGTCACAATTAAAGTAATTAAAGACCGAGACAGAACCCCGCATGTTGGTAATTTTTAGCCCCAGGCTAATCTACTAATCCATTGTGATTGGACAAATAGGGATATGCTGATATTTATTTGGGCTATCTGAAAATAGGACGCCCCGAAATTTGAGGGTTGATCATATTTCTTCTAAAACTGACATAATTTAGTTGTAAATACCAAATTTTCAGGTCCACACCGTGTCAAGTGTCATCTTGTATATTCGTGTCATTTCTCAAATATAGATAGAAAGATAGATGGATAAATAGATAGATAGATAGATAGATAGATTAGAATAGAATAGAATAGAATAGAATAGACTAGACTAGATTAGATAGATAGACAGACAGACAGACAGATAGATAGAGATATTACCAGATGTTATTATTATTACTATTATTCCCATTACTATGATCATTATTGTGTTTTTTAATTGTCATCCCATATATATATAATATATAATATATAATATATATATAATATAATATAATATATATATATCTATATCTACAGACACATGTAATATACACATAGCCACTATGGTTGCTCAACTCCCCGTTCCAAAAGTTACTTCCCAAGCCAGGAGAAGATCCCGCCGAAGGAGACCGGCCCGGCGCGCTCCCAGGGAGTCAATTTGTACATTAAAAACTTGGCGCCTCGGCACAACAAAGATAGGGAGGTTAACCATCAATGGTGGATGGCCATTTCAGGTACCTAAATTAGAGGTACCTACCATATATAAGGGCTATATAAGGCCTATGTAAGTGAATATCACCACAAAATATGGCCTTATATGGCCTTATATGGTACAGTACCTCCAATTTAGGTTCCTGAAATGGCCATTGAAATGGGGGAGAATTCCATGAAGAATAGGGAGATTGACAATCAACAATTGGGGATACTAAATGCGGATCAGAAAAAAGTTGCTATAGGTGATATCCCCAATAGCAAAAGTGTGACAGCAGGCAGTGAACAGCTATCAAATGTCAACCCAACCATGCCGGAACCCACAGCACAACCGACACCAGAACCAATATACTGGAACCACACCTGAACCTCTGGAATCACAGCACCGGAACGTCCAGAACCACCCGGAACCAGCCCGGAACCCACACAGGAACCACCCGGAACCACCCGGACCCCTGGAACCCACATCTGGGCCGAGACCCCTAAGCTAACGCTGCTGGGGGAAAACAAGGGGGGACCCATTCTTCCTCAAAGGAACCTTAAAAGTTGAAGGGTTTGGCAGTCAAACATGTTGCTAAAAGCACAGTTTGGGTTTAAGCATGAGAGCTGATCACAAACGGGTTCAAGTGTTCTCAGTGTTTAGCCGTCTCCCCTGTGGGGAAGAGATGTCCCCATCTCACATCATGTGTGGACAAATCTGTCCAACAACGCCGAAGGTGGAGTATGAAGCAAAGTTATTTGAGGAAACTAGTTCCACCTTGTGCGCATCAGCATCACCATCACTTTCACCGTCATGTTTTTTTTCACCATCAACTTTGGTAAGCGGTTGCCTTTGTCAAATGATATGAACCATCGCTTTGGCCTTCCAAAATGTTGGTTTGATCAACTATCAGGGGCGTTTGGCCATTAAAACTATTGGGGTTGAACCACCCGAAAAATGAACACGGAAGTGACCAGTCAGTTTGAGTATTCCAGCATGCATGTTGTTGGCAAATCATTTCGAGCCATGCCCACTTGCCTACTTGCCGTAGACAGGCTCCAAATCACAGCAGATCCGTTTCTATCTTTCCGGTTCAAGACCCTCAAGCATACTTACCTCAGGAGAAACCCAACCTCTCTCCATTCCAGGTTGGCAGGATGGAGTGGTACCACTCCAACCATTCCAATCAGACAAGGTGGTGCCTCCCCAATTATAAGTTGGTTCTAAGTCCATGAACCATAGATATATCTACTATGAACCCTAACAATTGGAGTTATAAACATTTATAAACCAACTTAGCTACCATAAAGCAGCTATAAATCCGTATTTTTCTATTTAAAACCTCCATTTTCCCCGTTCTCCAAAAGGGTTTTCAACCACCATTTCATCCAGTGCCAAGGATGAGCAGACGGATGACGACTCCCTGCGTGGCCTCTTCGAGTCCTTCGGCACCATCACCTCGGTCTGCTCCATGAAGGCGTCGCAGGGCGATGATTCATACATGGATGGATGGTATATACGGTATGAATAATTCATAATAATTCCATATGTATATATATATGTACATGCATACACTATCCACATTATTTAGCATATACCATAATATTGCAAGGTAAATTACTTTAATCTGATATCATGAGACAAATAAGAAGAACAGTAATAAACTAAACACCATAACATTATATCATATTTTTAGTATTCAAAATCATAATATCATATATACATATACAGTTGCATTTGTATGTTTGTGTATGTATGTCATGGAGTGGAATGGAATGTAATGCAATGCAATGACTCATAAACTGCAAGGTAATTGGTACACACACATATATTATACTGTATACATATCCAGTTTTAATACTACAAACAGGGTATACAAATTGAGATGGGTACATGGGTTTGTCTGAAGATGGGAATGGGCTCCCAGTTTATGGCCTTGTTCGTATGGAATTTCTGATAAAGCGTGGGATTCTGGAGTTTGTGATTTTTGTACAGATTGGGTCAAAACTGTCAACCCCAAAACTTACGTTTAATATCAAAGACGACAACTTCTGTGGGTCCAGAATGGCACCCCTTTCTTGACCCGTTCCATTTTGTACATTTGTTGGTGGACGTCATTCCTCATCCAGAGACTGCCAGAAAAGCCTTTGACAGTTGTACTTCGCCTTCCTAGACATGCTTCTGGTTTGCTTAAGATCATACCCTCCAGTCAATTCAACAAACCGACCCTGATTTTTGGCAGCCAATTTTTATTGGAAACTCATCTTCCAATCCCTATTTGGCAGGGTCTATGTTGGGCTTAAAAAAACAGACAGGAAGTCTTCCAGTCGACATAAAGATTGCTGAAGGAGTCGCCCTCGCAAACTGCCCAGAGATTTGTTGACCCAAGCCACATTTGCCAATGGGGCCGACAGGAGCCTTCTGGCAAGTGCAAGGCTTGGACAGGATGCGTGTTGAATTTGTATGAGGTTTTCCGATGTCTAGACACATGTCTATGCCGTGGAGTCGCCACAAACTGCAAGCCACGCGCCTTAGCCATCGCAAACACAAAACAAATTCGACCCAGATCCCAGATCCCTAAGGGTCCATCCCATCTCCAATTGACATCGACTGCCCCGACTCGCGTGTCGTCAGGGCTTTGGCTTCGTCTGCTTCAGCTCACCAGATGAGGCCACCAAGGCTGTGACCGAGATGCACCTCAAGGCGCGCAGAAAAACCAGGGGGCAACAGGACTACACTGACTTCCGATGATTCCGATGATTCGGATGATTTGTATATTATCATAGCGATTTCTGGTGATTCAGAGGCTTGAATTTCGAGATTGTATGATAGCTGAGGTGGTGAAGGGCAAGCCCCTCTACGTTGGTTTGGCCGAGAAGCGTGAGGTCCGTGCCGAGCGCCTCCGCGCCTTGGCGGTCTATGAAATCGTGAATAGAATGGACTCGCTGGCGGCTTCAGACCTTTTGTTGATTTTCAATCATGCCAAAATGGCCACATCATAGTTTAGGATAGTTTAGGATGGGTTGATACCACAGGCAATTGCAGTGGCGGCCTTCTTGTTGTTGCCTGATTTGAATTGTGCGACATGGTTTTGCCAGAGCGGCCATGGCATGTTTGAGACTGGCACATCCAAGGTCAGCGCTACTCCCCAAGCGGTGTCGGTGGCAAGGGCATGGGCATGGGAGGCAAAGGCAAGGGCGGCAAAGGTGGCGGAATGGGCAACCAGATGTACGGCAATCCTATGGGCGGCATGGGAGGTATGGGTGGCATGGGTGGCATGGGCAACAACCCCATGATGGGCATGGGCGGCATGGGCAAAGGCGGCATGATGGGCGGCCAAGGCCAGAATGCCGGCATGATGATGGGGGGCAAGCAGGGCAAGGGAGGCATGCCCAACATGCCCATGAACCCTCAGATGATGGGCATGGGAGGCATGGGCAAGGGCATGCCCAACATGAACATGCCTGGCGGCATGGGCAAGGGTGGCATGCCAATGCCAATGCCCATGGGCATGGGCCCCATGGGTCCTATGGGAATGATGCGCCCACCAATGGCACAGATGCCAATGATGCGCCCAGGACTGCTCGGCTTGGGTTGTGCTTTCAGGGATGCCTAGCAAGCTCTGTCGACCTCACGGGGTATCTATATAGATAGAAATTATCGTAATAATACAGTATGTACTGTACTTAAACTTATCTACATGTGTTCACTCTTGTTGATGATGTGCCGAAGGACCTTTCATAGAACTCTGAGTCCAAAGACAAGCTACTTTGACCTGGCCACTGCCAATTCCAATTCCTGTAGCTCAAAACCTCGCTGGCAGGAATGCCTGCCCAGACCCCTGCATCGCAAAACCAACCTGCAGCCACCGGTGGCGGCAGCGGTGGAGGACTGCATGAATAGCACATTGTTATGAATGTACATATGTGTTTGTTCATGTGCCAACGAAGCCGTTTGAAAGGCCGAAGTTCCCCTCAATGGGCAGTTCACCTTAACATTCAGTAGATCTACCCCACATTTTTACTAGATTGACCCTCAATTGGATCCAGTTGGTATATTATATTTATATAATATTTTCATTGCTAACGTTATGAACAAAAAAAGTTGTTTATCGTCATATATGTCCATTGAAACAAGTTGTTTAACATCATTTATAGTAATCCCGAAAAGGATAGAAAAATACCGTTGTGCTAAAATAGTGATAAAACACTTTTCTGCATCTTATTTTCTATGACCATTTTTCAACTTGCCAACCTTCTACACTTCGGTTGGCTTACGGTTTGGGAGGCCAGCAATTGACCGCAGCCGCCTTGGCTGCTGCCCCTCCACCGGTGCCTGAGCATTTTCGGTTGCCACGCTTGATTGCTGGAGGGCACCCAACCTTAAGGGCCGAAATATTTTTTAAATGTATATTTTATGTATATTTTATGCATATGTTATGTATAAACATAAATGATGTGATATATGATGTGACATATGCCATATGGTATGACTGGTGACCTGGTGGTTTCTTCTTTATATGCAGCAAAGTTGGGGGCAGTTTGATCAGCCAAAAATGGGGGATCTCACCATCATGGTGCAACCGGTGGGGGTCGCTTAACTAGGTGCAGAAGCAGATGATTGGTGAACGCCTCTTCCCCGCCATCTCCAAGCATCAACCAGAACTGGCTGGAAAGATCACAGGTCGATGGGGGGGCTGGTTTTGATTGCGGCTTCCTTTGCAAAAAATGGGATAAAGATGGATATAGGGTTTACAACAATGGTGAATCAATGGGATCTAATGGGAATATAATGGTTCCTAAAAGAAATCCCTTCCAACTTCTCGGGCAGCTGGTTTTGAATGGGCTGCTTTTGAATGTCTGGAAATCTTCTTTTCTGCGAGCTTTAGCTTTTCCTCAAACATAGGTGACTGAGAACTTCACAAAGTCGGAGGCTTGAAACCTCAATCTGGGTCCACCAAATGGTTCCATCTAAAGTGGTGAAGCCTTTTTGAAACCCCCGTCCTCTGTAAAGGAACTCCCAAATGGTAAGACATGAGATTGATTCAAAACTACCCCAATCTGGAGTTTTTTTTCAGACTCGCTAGCTATCTGTGGAGACCAATTTGGTACCCCATTTTGGTCCACTACAGGGTGGTACCTCCCAGTTAAAAATCGTTTTTAACCCGCATGAACTAGTTCGATATAACCCCCATAACCATGTCATTGGAGTGAACTAAGCCAACTTTTAGCTAACATAGATTAGCAATCCCGTTTTTTTGGCTGGTTAAAGCAGCATTTTCCCATCAGGAATGATGTTGGAGATGGACAACTCGGAGCTGTTGATCCTCCTCGACAGCGAGCACCAGCTGAAGGCGAAGGCCCGCCCCGGCCGCTGGGAAGTCCCCCGCGCAACGAAAAGGGGCATGTGAAGTGGGGGGAAATCCACTGGAACATGGACTTTTTCATGGGAACATACCTAAGATACGCCATTTTGAATGGGGAAAAATCCTCCAAGTAAATAGGGGACTTTCCAGCTAGCCACGTTTGATCGCCAAGTAGACATGTGAACTGGGACTGGAAGGAATTCGTAGCCTCTCCAAGCTATCCATTTCACCTGAATTGGATTCGAGGATTCTCTTGAATTTGATCTTCAGGGTGTCCTTTAAACGGGGGTTGATACATGTCCCATTTGGGACATTCTCAAGACCACTCTTGGATTGTATTCTTGAAGGCATGGATCACTACTGGTAAATTACATCCCAGAATTGGATGGTGGGAAAGTGTGCAGGAAGCCTTTTTAAGAGTTGGATGCTTTCCAGTGAAGATTTTCCCTTAAAATCCATTGAATCCAGAAAATATTCAGAAAAATATTGGTTGGTTTCCCCATCATAATCCCGTGGTTACATCCACATATCACAGTGGTTACATCCATTGGATGCCCAGGTGGATGAGGCCATGCGGGTTCTGGAGCAGGCAAAGTCGCTTGGGATCTCAGTTTTTGTGACCGGGCTGCGGGTATTCACCAACAAAAAAAGGGATATGTGTATATATATATATATACACATAATATTTACCAGACATGGGATCAAATTGAGAACCGCCATTTCGTCCGAGCGGTCAACTTCGCGTTGGGAGTTGATGCCCCAGCGACTCGGGGATTCTTTTGAGCGATCGCCAAGTGGCGCTGGCTTCGGGTAACCATGACATAGCCCCTGATGGTGGTGATATGGTTAGATAGAGCGCATTATTATCCTATGATTGTGGCTAGAGAGTTGAGTTGTATATATATATCATTTTATTTCATTCACGCCACTCTGAAGCGTCCAATCTTCATGGGCGAGCGGGGGGCTCTTGCCCCGAAGCTGATCACTAGAGCTGTTGCTGCAGTCTCGCGCCACAAAAGGGCTTACACGAGCACGGCCCCAAAAACGCCAAAGCACACGATATGTATATAATATACACCATTATTATCCTATAATCCTAGTACAATATCCCATGATTATCATAATATATACTAGGATAATCATGGGATAATAATCATTGGATACACCTATTCACATCCCATGATTATCCTACTATTATCCCCTGACGATGTTGCAGCGGCCTGAGGTAAGACTCCGCCGTGCGGAGCTGTCAGCGTAGCTGCTAATGACCCCCAGGCGCTGGTCGGGAATTTCTTATACCCTCATTAATCTATGACCATTGGAAAATCAACCATCATTGATCTATGATTATTGAAGAATAGCTATTTTTTAAAATATAGTTAGCTAACATGGCTATGGAAAATCACAATCTTTAATAAGTAAATTAAATATAAATGAGCCATTTTCAATACTGTAGCCATGTTAAATTTCCGAGGGTACTGCCAGTACTGCCCCAAATTTATGGTGATTTTATGTGATTTTAAGTATTCTAATGGGCAACATTTTGAGATTTTTGGGCAGCTCATTTTGAGACAAGCCCATTCCGATGCATGGTCTGAAGCAAATTGACCAGCTGCATGATGCTCATGGATTGATGACAAATGGATCACTATAATTGGATCATTTGGTGAACTTGCGAGGACATCGGGTTTGAAGTCTTTGGGAACTGGCAGGTTGTGGCAGCGACTGCTTCTTTTCGGAGTGCCTGTGAGATGCTTGTGACAGGTGACAGGTGACCTGCCTCGGTACCGCTGACTGACATCTCTTTCCGCAGACATCCGAAGCAAAAGTCAATTTTGGACATCGAGATAGGCATGGACAGCACGAAAAATGCGTGGCATTGGCGTATGATATCTAGAGTAATCTAGAGTCATGACAGCACAGATCTAGTATCTTGACACTCCATGTCCTAGCGTTTTATGGTCAATCTGACGAATGACTGAAACAGCTCCTGCTGAGATGGCATCACCATCAGACCATCAGATCATATCAGGTCCAGAAAAATCCATATATGGAGGTTTCCTGAAATAGGGGTACCCCCAAATCATCCATTTTAATATAGTATTTCCATTATAAACCAACCATTTGGGGGATCCCCCATTTATGAAAACCCCCATATCCATATATCGATCTATATAGGTCTGTGACACCCTCGGGAAGTTTGCTGCTTTGGGTGTCTATTCAGTCAGGGGAGGCGCGGTCCATCACTGACACGTGTTGGACTCGAGATTGGCTTGGTATATACTTTGGGCACACTGGCCCCCCATCGCGGAGTTTCAGTGTGAAGGGCGAAACATCTCATTTCAGTCTTGGCATGTCCCGCAAATTTGCGAGGTACAAGACCCCTGAAATCCAAAAAGATCATTGGCTGCGTCGCCTTTAACGCCCCAGGCCTGGCTTGTTTTGGTCCAGGCCACATGATTTACACTCGAGAGACTACGGCGATCCCAGGCATTTGGACCGATTGCCCCGTATTTTGTCGGGCATGGACAGCATGGGATGATCTTCGCTTATTCCCGTTTGGCTCGAAAAAAAGGGTGAAGTGTGCTGAGCTGGGTCCCGGGATCGTCTCAAAGGTCAGTGGCAAGGGGCATCAAGTTTCTTAGTAGGGAAAGGCAATCATGGGGCGAATTTGTGGTGCATTCTTGGATCTACTGCTGCCACATGGCTCCGTTGTTTCAAGAGTAGGCTCAGTGGACAAGGTTAGGGAAGCCATCCCGCCGCGTCTGCCAAAAAAATCGTACCTTGGTTTCAGTCTGATCGGAAGCTGGGGGTTATGGTGGATGCCGCCGATACCATGGGGATACCTACAGCTACAATCTGCTGCAAAGCTTGGTTTGAAGATGTTTGAAGTGTGATAGTGCTTGGAACAACCACACACCTCACATTTTGATATATATATATATATACATGATATCTATGTATATATATATATACATGATATCTATGTATATATATATATATGTACATATGAGATATATATATATATACATGATATATATATATATACACATGATATATATATATATACACATGATATATCATATGTATATATATATACATATGATATATACATATATACATGATATATATACATATATACATGATATATCTATATATGTATATACACATATGATATATATATATACACATATGATGTATATATATATATAC